AAATTTATAAACTGTTTTGTAGCTTCCATGTTGTTTCCATCTTCTCATTCTCATTTATATGCAAAATTGGGAAAATGGCTTCCCAGCTTGTGTAGTTGAATTGTATGAAGAGCACTTGGATGAAAAAATAATCAAAGCAAATTATATATTTGCCTTAGAGATGTGGCCTCAGTCTTTTTTTCCCTGTCATGAATAGTTTAGCTTTTACTTAAAAATAAGTCATTAAATGTAAAAAATCTGCGACAGAACTTGAGGTGCGAACAACAAGTTTTCTTCCTACTTGACCTCAGCTTTCTTGATTTGTTGCTAAAGTCTGTCTTCCCATATGCCGACCTGCCGGTCTTGGCACCGTGGACACCGCAGAGCAGGAAGTCGCCGTGAGCTGTGCAAAAATAAACCAGCCTCCACTTTCGTGGCACTTTTTGACCTGGTTTTGAGGACTGAGCTCTGCAGGCTCTCAAACAGACACTGCAGAAAAACGCCCCCGGACAATCGAGTGCTTTTCATTTCATCTGCTCTGTCACCAAACGCAAGCTGACTGTTAACTAGGCGAGGCTCGAGCTCTCACAGTATCCATCACTGTATCAGAGAGCAAAATGAGAGAACCGAGAGTGAAAACCAGCTCCCAGTTTAGGACAGATGAAAGGGCAGGTGTGAAGGACCGGCTGATCGGTGATGAAGTCACCAGAGTGTGATTGGCAGGATCTTAAAATGATGGTGGCGGCTTAGCGATCCAGGCAGAGTGCAGCCGATTGATTTCAGAAACCCAAAAGGCTTGTCCTAAAAAGTGAGTGAGTTGGAAAAAAAGAAAGTTTTTCTTTTCTGTTGTGGATTTGAATTCAAATCAGAAGATGTCTTCCTTATCTAAGGGAATGTTTTGACATTTGGTAAATTCTTCTATTTCTGTCATTGCCAAGAGTTTGATTGGTAACGCTGTCATGTCTGAGCAGTAGCTATAAAGCTGGAGCCAGGAAAGCTTTGCATAAAGATGACTGAAAACATGGAAATCTGCCCACCAGCACATCTAAAGCTCATTAAATCCTGTTTGTTTATTCTGTACACAAAACAAAGTTTTAAAAAAAAAAATTCTGAAAGAAAGACACTTAGCTCAACCTAGAAACAACCTGGAACATAAAACTGAAAAAAATTGGTAAATTTACTACAGTTGTGAAGAAACACGCTGTTGTGTGAAGAGCTATTCGTTATACTGGTTAACGGTTGCTAGGGGAAAAAGTGTGTTCCCTGACTTGCTGGCGAGTGATTCATGGTTGCTGGCTGTTGCTATGTGAAGTCACATGCACAAAGTAACAGAAAGGGCGCTTCACCAAAAAGCTTCTTGTGATCTCGTTAGTCACTGGCTAGCCCAGTGGTAATAAAACTTGAAATAATGAAACATAAATCAGAAATAGAGATTGTTTGCTTCCAAAGAAAAAGTTGTGCCTCAGTGATGCACTCAACAT